AAGGAAAAGGAAAAGGAAAAAGAAAAGGCATCGGACTCGTCCAAGAACCTAGTCGGCAAGCTTAACAACCTCGTCAGTACGGATTTGCAGAATGTCGTTGATGGGAGGGATTTTATTCGGTTGGTGGTCCTTGTGCCGATTCAGGTTGCGTTGTGTGTTTGGTTTTTGTATAATGTTCTTGGATGGAGGTGTGTATCGTCTTTCTATTCTTTGCAATGTGTAGCTGATGGATGTGTATTTGCTTACCGCGCAGTGCGTTCGTTGGTTTGGGTGTCATCGTCGTGTTGTTCCCGGTCCCGGGATGGTTGACGAATCTGATTCAGAAAGCGCAACGCGCGAGGATGAAGAGGACCGATGCGAGGGTGCAGGTGGTCACGGAAAGTGAGTCGTCATCGTCTTTAGCATTTGCGATTTCCACGTCTGCCTCTTTTTCTCATTCGTATGTCTTCTAGTCATGAATGTTCTCCGCATGGTCAAGATGTTTGGATGGGAGAAGAAGATGCTGGAGAGGATATTTGCTAAGAGGGAAGAGGAACTTGGGTTTATTAAGAGGTTGCGGTTATTGGGTTTGATGACTGCGATTGCAAAGTGAGTTGCGGGCCCTCCTTTTACGAGGATTAGATACTCATGTTCCGTTCGTTTTCCAGTCATACTATTCCGGTGCTGACAATGTTGGCTACGTTTGCGACTTACGTAGTACGCCCTTCCCCACCTTGACCCGCCTGGCAAATTTCGTCCCTAACTGTCCTTTTTTTTGCATTCAGTGTCTTTTCAACTGCGTCCACGCAGAATTTCTTCGATTAGTCTGACTATTTTTATTCATTCGACTTTAGACGCTAGTGATGGGCGAAGAGCTGACCGCGTCCAAAGTGTTCAGTTCGATGGTGGTATTTGAAAAGTTTAGCAAGTAAGTCAGAGCTGGGCTTTTCATCCGTTACCTACCTGTAGCGGACGTGATATACTGATTGATAATTGCCCCCTCCCCCCGCGGTCCCGACAGTCTGTTGCGAATGATGATCTGGATGACGACGTTGTGCCTCAACGGTAAGGTCTCGTTGGACCGTATCACCAACTTCTTGTATGATGTAAGGGGGGAGATTTTTTTTTTTTTTTCATCTCTTAACATCTTATTTTGTCTCCGTGCTACTAGACTGAACTCTTGGATAAATGGTCCAACTCCGGAGGAGAGAGTGCGCCGATCATCTCTTCGCCTCCGCCCGCAATCGACGCTATCGGCTTCCGCAAAGCTACCTTTACTTGGTCGGCTGAAGACGACGACAACAACGCCGACGGCGATGGTAATGGCTCGGGTTCGGGTTCCCACACACCGTCAAGGAGGAGATTCTTGTTGAGGATCGAGGATGAACTGCTGTTCAAGAAGGGCGTCGTTAATTTGATCGTTGGACAGACGGGGAGCGGGAAGACGTCGGTGCTTATGGCGTTGCTCTCTGAGATGCATTTCGTGCCGTCCGGTCCGGATTCGTGGTACGGTCTTCCAAGGGCTGGAGGTATTGCGTACGCGGCGCAGGAGTCTTGGGTGCAAAATGCGACCATCCGGGTAAGGGGCGTTATGCCGTTGATTTCCAATGACGCCAGGCGCTGATCGCTTTTTGGGGTTCGTCGTGCATAGGACAATATCGTGTTTGGTGCAGAGTTTGACGAGGAGCGGTATAAAAAGGTTATTTACCAGTGTTGCCTTGAGAAGGATTTAGAGTTGTTCGACGCTGGTGATCAGACTGAGGTCGGGGAAAGGGGGCTGACGTTGAGCGGAGGGCAGAAGGCAAGGGTCACGCTCGCGAGAGCTGTCTATTCTCGAGCGGAGATCATTTTGCTTGATGATGTGCTCGCTGCATTAGAGTAACTTTCCCTCTTCTATGATCACATCGGTGTGCTGACCTGACTTGGCTCTTCTCTCAGTGTTCATACCTCAAAATGGATTGTGGACAAGTGTCTGAAAGGAGACCTCATTCGAGGAAGGACTGTACTTCTAGTTGTAAGTCTTCCTTTCCATTTTCCTCGGATAGTGTCTTGAACCAGACCTTCCAGACGCATAACGTTGTTCTAGTGCAGCCCATAACAAAATTTGTGGTGTCCATCAAGGATGGACGTGTCGCTAGTCAATCATCTATCGAGCACGCCATGTCCGCCGACGAAGCTTTGGCTGCCGAGGTGGAGAAGGATGAAGAGGCGGTGGAAAGGGCCCGCGACGAGATCGACCCCCAACCGGCACCGAACGAACCTTCTGGCAAGGACGGGAAGCTTATTCTCAAGGAGGAAGTTGAGCTGGGGCACGTTAGCTGGTCCGCTCGTACGTGTCATCCTCAGTTACCTGGATGAATATTCACTGAATTGCATCTTTACTAGTGAAACTGTTCTTTGCGTCTATGGGGGGTAACCATATAGGTCTCTTCTTCTTTGCGTTCATCGGCTTGTTCTTAGCTAGCGAGTTGTCTGAGAATGGTAAACGGCGCATCTATTCCATTATTTTTTTATCACCTCTGCTTATGTTCAAACTTTCAGGTCAGATATATTTCTTGGGGTACTGGGCTCGCCAGTATGAGAAGGTCGGCGATCCTTCTCAAGTGAATGTTCCTTTGTGAGTCACCCGGTTTCTCTAATCTACCAACGGGCTACTCAACTGTGGATGACAGTTACTTAGCGATATATGGCAAGTCTCTCGTGATCTTTGCGATCTCCATATTTATTGGTGCTTAGTCGCAATCTTGGCGGTCCTCATTCTTACATTCTGCGTTGGGTATGTTATATACCTCTGGGGTGTTTTGAGGGCGTCCAGAATGATCCACCAACGTCTCGTTACTTCAGTAGTCGGAGCAACTTTAAGGTATTCCCGCCTCACTCTCAAACTCTCGGCATCTTACATTTTCCATTAGGTGGCTGGATACCACTCCCACTTCGCGTGTCATCACCAGATGCACGCAAGACATTCGCGATGGTTCGTCATGATCACTCACTTCGTGTTTCCCTTCCAATACTGAACAAGTCTACAGTCGATGACCCGCTAGCACAGATGTTTTCCGGTCTTGTTTCCATGACTTTGGGGATGATTATCAAGTTTTTAGCAGTCATCATTCTGACCCCAGCGTTCCTACTCCCGGCTACGTTCGTTGGACTGTTCGGCGCTTGGTGCGGAAATGTCTATATTCACGCACAGCTCCCGGTTAAAAGAGAAATGAGCAACGCAAAGGCTCCCGTGCTCGGACACTTTGGCGCGGCGATGAATGGACTGAGTGGGCACTCTGTTTTCCTTGTGTAGATATCCGCACCGCAGAGGAACTAATACTGGGTCTCATAGCGTCCATACGAGCATACGGCGTGGAGGAATCGTTCAGGAAAGAAGTACAAGTTCGAATTGACCATTACTCTCGGCCAGCGAGAACCTTTTACAACTTGAATCGATGGATAGACGTCCGCGTAGATGCGATTAGTAACATATTTGCCGTTGCCCTTGCTTCATATCTGCTCTATATAGGACACGACGATGCTTCCGACGTTGGATTCCTTCTCAATATGGCTGGTCAGTCTCCAGCTTTACTATTTTGCTTAACCCTTCATTGAGAGGATGATATTTCTAGTCGGTTTCAGTGGAACCATTCTTTGGTGGATTCGAGTTGTCAACCAGTTCGAAGTCCGCGGAAACAGTCTCGAACGTATCGGGGCCTACATTACTATTGAGCAAGAGAAACCTCCGATCCCTGAGGGAGTGCCTCCAGCTTATTGGCCCGCAACCGGACATCTACGCGTTGAGGATCTTTCCGCGAGCTATTCACCTGACGGACCAAAGGTACTAAGGAACCTCTCGTTCGAAGTGCAGTCAGGGGAGCGAATCGGGGTCGTCGGAAGGACAGGTTCGGGAAAGGTAAAGTGCCAATTGCCCGAGTTAATTACTTTGTTGTGACTTACCGCTTCGGTCGCAGAGCTCCCTGATGCTGTCCCTCCTTCGATTGATCTACTCGGATGGAAGTGTGCACTACGATAGCCTCCCAACCTCGTCAATCAACCTGGAGGACCTACGACGTAAGATTACTATCATTCCTCAAATTGTGCGTCTATTTCAGGTCTCGTTTCTCTCGTGCTCTTAATGTTTCTGGTATGCTTAGCCCGAACTTCTGAGTGGCTCTGTCCGGGAAAATTTGGATCCATTTGGCCAACAAGACGACGCGACCTTGAATAGTGCGTTGCGATCCGCTGGACTATTCTCCTTGCAGGAAGAGCTGGACGAAGGCGAGGATAGAATTACCTTGGATAGCGCCGTCGCCAGTGGCGGAAATAACCTATCCGTCGGTCAAAGACAGATTGTCGCGCTTGCGAGGGCGATGGTGAGGGAAAGTAAACTTTTGATTCTCGATGAAGCTACATCAGCTATCGGTAAGCATCATTGCATTCAAAGTCGAAGGTATCTCATGAGGCCCTCCCTGGTAGACTACAAGACCGATACCATCATCCAATCATCGCTCCGAAACGAGCTTGACAAAGAGACGACGCTGATAACAGTCGCTCATCGTCTTCAAACCATTATGGATGCTGATAAGATTGTAAGATTTGCCTTCACCACACGATTTTAACGATACTGAGATAGGAATCTTCCTTAGATGGTTCTTGATGCGGGTCAAATTGTACGTTCTGTCTCTTTTATGCGGCAGATTTTGAGCTTACTGTTCCCGTGGCGCAGGTGGAATTTGACCGCCCGGCGGAATTGCTGAAGAATAAGGACGGGAAATTGAGAGCTCTGGTTGATGAATCAGCAGACAAGGAGCACCTGCTTGCGATGGTCAGAGCTAAAGAACATTTGGATCATTCTGGTAGTCATTGAGTTTCAAACTATACGGACTAATAGAATAGGCAAATACACAGTGTGACTAACTAGTAATAACACGAAATGGTGTTGTAGTTTACAGACGGTGTATAATTGTACAATGTGGCAAGACCTGAGGAAACTGTCAGTGGTTTTTTCTTAGGCTTGGTTTAAATGCAGGTAGTATGGCGCTATAGCCAAGTGGTTACGGCGACAGATTCGAATTAATCTAACTTCGGTATCTGTTCCTCTTTGAGGGCGCAGGTTCAAATCCTGCTGGCGTCGATAGCTCCAGACAATCTGGGATTTTTGCCTTTTCATTCCCACCCAAAGTGCTGAAAGAAACATTCTAGAAGCATCAGTAACTTTTTGCAGTTTTCAAGCTCGATGTCATCTCGATTCCGGCGATTTCAATTCTGTTCTCTTTTTCTGACTTCAGCGGATAGAATTGTCAGGTCCGGGGCACTGGGCACATTGAGTTGTAAAACATTAAGATAGTCTAGTGATGAAGAACTGTACGTTGACAATGAAGACAATAATTGATATTTCATTGTTCCCAAGGTCATATACGGGTATTCTGGTATTAGGGTATGTGTAGGGTAAGTGCAGGATAGTGGAATAGAGTTACGCATCAATAGTATTACAGAGACATATATACGTCGGTCTACTGATCATTGTCTTCTCTGCTTACAGGAGACTACATATGATACAGACAATTTGTCGTTGAATGTAAAGAGATACAAATAAGCCGGATGGGTGTTAGTTGGATTCACTCCGGACTGTAGGATTATGCGTCCAGCCCATGCGTCCAGCGTTCCGAGGGCGTATGCGTGTGCGTCCATGCGTATGCGTCCATCGGAATTAAGCGGATGCGTCTTGATGTGATGCGGATACGTCCCATTCAAATGCGTCCGGGTGCGTCCTGATGCGTCTCAGTTATTTACCCTCATATTTATATTTTTTACACTTATATTAAGTACTGTGATTGTGAAAAGTACAGTTATGAGCCGACAATACCATTATTTGACTTGGGGGAATGACTCGAAGGAATTTCGGCTTCATGGAGCCTAGATCAAAACTAGCCGAAAAATTGATGGGTTTTGATCGCAAGTAAAAAAGGCAACGCGAGATGCGCTCTACCCTGTTTCCCCTTTGAATTGTGCATTCCTCTTTGCAAATTGATTGAAGAATGAACTGGGTTGTAAGTTGCAGCCATTTTGTATATATAATCTCCCATTCAATCAACATTGAATCAGATGAAATTTCATCAATATATTGCTCACCTCATTGATCCTGGCATTAACATTGGTCCACCACTCCAGGATGTACATAGAGTGAATAGAAGGACAGATGAAAGTATATTTTATTATTTCACATTTATGTATTGAAGCCTCAGGACAGCTGAAAGATCCCCAGGAATCTTCAGGGCAGCCCCAGGGATCCCCAGGGACTCTCAGGCTCCATAGGATTTGGGGGGTGTCCCTTGGCATCCTGGACAGCCTATGTAGCCCAGGATTCCTGAGAAGCCTTAAACTGCCTGAGGACAACCCATAACAACCCATATGTGCCTGGGCTGTAGGGCCTTTTTCCTGATGTTCAAGCATGGCATGGAAAGCTACAATGATTTGAAAGAGGATTTGGATCAAGAACATGGAAAGAATGAATTGAGAGGAGCCAAAAAGTGGGCACTCAGTAATGCTGCAAAGGGCAAGGGTGCTGCTAAGAGGCAGAGGAAGATGTAGTAGAATTAATGTTTTACTTCATGCATATATGTCACAACTTATTATAAATCAATGATTCTGGGTTCAGAAGGCTTTATTACAATTCTTCTACTTAATATGAAGTCTGGCTCTCAGTTCCTGAATGAGGTTCCTACCATGCTTCAAGGAATCTGAGTTTTCTTTGACCTGTACCACTTCCCAGGGAAACACAAAAAATGTATGCTCCTCCAGGGTCTCATTTGGTGTTCCTGCATTATGAGCAAATGCTACATGGTAGTGCAACTCAGAGTGCTCTTTGCTCCATGTAATGCACTGTCCAAGTTTACCAGTATGATCACCCATCACCACTGCCAGGAGAGACTTGCAGGTATGTTGTAGAGGGATAATGGGCTTGTAAATGGAGGAGATATCAACAGTTCTAGAGTGCCCACCCTGTATTTGAAAGGATGCAATGCCATCAGAGATTTGAATCCATTTGGAATCTTGACTATAGTGAGGGTTGCCAGAGTCCATAGAGACAAACAAAGATTTCCCATTGAAGGCTGGATAAAGAATCCAATGAGAAGGACTTCTTTGTATTTCATTGGGCTTAAAAAATTGTTAATGACTGATGAAAATAACATTCAATAAACTAAAGCTCACTGAGAATCCCCAAAATGTAGCTGAATCTGTATTTAAAAGTACATCATCACTGGCAGATGGTCGTGGTGTCAAAGATTGGGTAACTTCAGGAAGTGGCTGAGGAATATATGGTTTATCAACTACAGTGGGAGAGTAGTCAAGTCAAGGATAAAAGAAGTTTTGATTGCTGTTTAATGGATATGTCTCAGCTAGTGTTCTCCAAGTGCTGAGATATTTCAATGAGCATATAGAAAAATGAATGATATAATGAGACTTACTGAACCTCACATACATCCTCATACTCTATAGTGATCAGGGGATTCACCCCATGGGAGGTGCTAAGTGACAGCTCCAATCTCAGAGAGAGACCATTAATGGTGGAGGTGTGATTAACATCTTTGACCATTCCTTGACAAGTCTTGTAGGGCCCACAGATGACTTGTACAACACATCCAAGCCAAGGAATAGATCCTGAGATCATAGAACCTGCCGAAAAATGCTGAACAGGGAAGTGTTGTACAATTTACATGAGAGGGGGATAATAGAAATGTGGAGTATTGCCACACCTGAGACATAAGATTGGCAGTGTATACTGTAAATGACAGGACAGAGAAAGGAAGGGAAAGTGTTATTCCTGAGGGTATGCTAAATGGCTATATATATATATCTAGATATAGAATTTCAAATACATATGATAGGAAAAAACCATAATGCTGCACAAGTTGATAAATCCCTCAAGCTATCAATGATAATAATCTGCGGTGGAAAAAATATAATGCTGCACAGGTTATAAATCCCTCAGGCTATCAGTGATAATAATCTGCAGTGGCTGTGGTTATGAACAGCATAAACAACTCCCCTTGATGACCTAAATCTTCATTACCAAGTGTCGTAAAGCTGGTACAAACATCCATTCCTAACCCCTATTCATTTCTCTTTTACTATACATCTTTCACATGACCACGTTTATGACTAACTTTCATATCAATACCTTTTGGACATACAACTCCTCCCTATCTTTTCTATTTCGCTCCCACTGTCATTGTTTTATTAATGAACTGTCCTTGTTTCTCTTCTTGCATCTGTCGCATGACCACATGCTCCATACCTTTTATTCTCGTAGCTGTCACTTAGCTATTGTCTTCCAGTAGCATTAGTTTCTTGTCTTGTCCTCCAGTAGCATTAGTCCCTCCTACAGCTTACTACAGTATATATACCTACCACCTGTAACCTGAGTCCCCATCTTGACCTCTCTGTCGATTGGGACCAGGTGAGTATCCTGCTTGTACCAGTAGACTATTTAATTAACTCTGTCGATTGGGACCAGACTTTGCCTAAACTGATTACTGTGCTCTTGAAAGCCACTCTGCTGTAAACTGCTTCATGACATTAGGTCAAGATCCTTGCTGCGCTGATAGTCTACTGCCTAGGCTGTCCCCGCAGATTCCGCTACCGCCATGCCTTCTTTCTCTGCAGATTTGTCTGACTCTGAATTGGGTCATGAACACGTTGACTGCTCCAGCTATCTGCACGCCTTTGACACCCAAGCCCGATCTCACATCCACCAGCTACCAGACAGTTGGAATGATTGCGACCAACAGCCCTGTCTGCATGCCCTTGAAAACTCTATTACTGAAGCAACTCAGCTCAGAGACGGTACCCCTGCTGTACCAATTGCCAGATCCATAACTGCCCCATGCACTCTTATGGCCCCTCCAGTTCCACTTGCCCTCACTGCCCCACCAGCCTTGACCACTGTAACTGCCCACCCATCACCTGCATCTTCACCAGCACCCCCACTACCGACATCATCTCCTTCCCCCATCCCAAGCATGTCTCAACAAAGTCTTGACCAGCTTATGCATAGCCTGATCCAGCAGGTTGCAGCCCTCACAAACAGCTTGCAAACTAATATTACTGTCACCACCAAGTCCAGCATGGTCAAACCAGACCCCTTTAAAGGTCAGAGTAGTGCAGAGGCTTGTCACTTCATAGCCCACTTTGAGAGCTGGGCATCAGAACAGGCAGACTTAAAAAATGATGATGCCAAGGCCATCAAAGCAGCCTTAGGATTTCTCTCAGAGGGAGCAGTGGATTGGGCCACCCCCTATCTATCAGCCTTTAATGCCAAGCAGGTACTGTTTAAT